TGTCAGCAGTGAGGAACAAAAGCCCAGCAGTGCATCTTCTCCTATCCCTAGGGAGGGAGAAACAGCTGTGGACAGAGGAAAGCAGAAAACAATACTCTTCCTTGCTCACAAAGGGGTGGAGGAGGTAGAGAGTGAAGGAAGGTCTTCTGCCTCTCTGTGCGCTCTGAGCACAGTGTGCCTCACAACGGTTTCAGTGGCAAGGGCTGCTAATGGAAAGGGAACCAGACTGAGTTCCCTCTTTAGCTTTGCTCCCTTGAAACAGGCTGCTCCATGACTCAGTTTACCCACTTGCAAAATAGTGTAAAGTATTTTATAAACTTCTGGAGAAAGCTGAGATAACAGGCATTGTTCAAGCCAGTCAAAATCTGACTGTTAAAGGAAGGCCAAAGGCAAGGTCTATGGTGAGATTAGCAAGCAATCCCAGCAAACTCATTCTGTGTGAACAATTGCTATCTGATGATATCTTATTGTAGGATGTTACTAATGGGAAACTGTTATTTGTAGCACTCACAGACACAGTGTAACAAACCCATGGTAAATTAAAACAGTTTTGCTGCAACAAGTGATATTTCAAAGTTATGAAATGAAAGGCATTTGGGGCAGGAACTAAATAATAGGATGTTTTTCGTCAAGTTGGAGAAAGGTCATTGCTTTCATTGATGTTGCTCTTTATTTCATTGTTGAGAGTCATTGAATTTGTAAACTGAAAAATACATTTTGCTCTTTCTCAGGCTAAAGAAATAACGTTCACCACCTGTATTTAATACCTTTTTGTTTTCTAAGTGTATATCTGATGATAAAAGCATGAGATTAATATTGAATAATATAGATTATCAAGTACTGTAAAGGTGGGGATTTTTTAACAGAAAGGAGGTATACAGAAGAATTCTATTCTAGCTGTCATGGCTATTATTTTTCTCATGTCTAGTTTAAGTTAAAACACAGCATGCCATCTGAATAATTTGAATAATTTTTAGGTATTTACTTTGCTCTACTCTGGGTATGCAGCATGTTAGTTTTTACTGTAGTTAAGAAATGTGTTGGACCAATATGAAAGGACTGAGCATCCTAACTGTTGAGCCTCCTAAGAACCTAGTGATTTGGCTTTTTTTATTTGGTACAGGCTTATTTATACATTCTTAAACTGGTTTTATAGTAAATGAACCATGAATAGAGGTAACTGTCTTCAATAGCTGGTTGTCAAGCACCAGATTTTCATGTCTCTGTAAAATGCAACCTCTGAAGTAGTATATTCTTACTGCAATGAACTGGGATTTAGAGATATTACTTCCAATAATGCCAACATAAACTTAGCAATCTACTCGTAGCATAAAGTCTTAATATTGAGGTCAGAGGGAAACCTAGGCCTGGCTTTGGAAGGGATATAAAGTTTGGAGGAGCATATTTTCCTCATTTTGGAGGGATTTGCAGGTGTAAACACCATAGAGAATGTATATCCACTGTTTTCTGCTAGAAAAAAACAGACAAGGTGCTTCAGGGTTCCACTGCCACCTTCCCCAATCACTCATATACTTCAATTCATCATGCTGAAATTATTAGTCATGTGTAAGAAGTTGGTTTCCTCTGAGTGTAAAATTTGTTAGGATTTATAAAGTTGCAGTTAAAGCCAGTGAACATTCTTTAGTAGTGGAAAAACTGATACAAGTGAATATTTTCCAGTGTCTGGATGCACTCACTTCATTGTAGGACCATATGCATTTCAGATTCTGCTTACCGTCCCTTCTGTAAGTCACTAGTTGAATTAGCACGTGCTGCTAACAGTAAAGCCTTCTGCTTTAGTGGGCATCTGTCAAGGCACCCTGCAGCAAGATGACTGCAGGAGCATGACTTGAGCGTGCTACAAGAGGTGGTGCAAGTGTATGTGCATGTGTTTTAAATATTTCCTCTTTCTCCTTGTTCAGTAAATCCATGGTTTTCTTCTCACAGGCAAGATGCAAGTGGAGTACTGATGTTATGAAGAACAGTCTTTAACTCTCCATTTCTTCAGTTCGTACTTCAGCAAGAGACAGTCATCCATCTCCTCTGCACCCACTCACTCAGCTCCACTTCAGTTTCTGCTCACACTAATCATCACTTGCTTGTTCTGTCCCCCTAAGTTCCTTCTGAGCCCTGTGTTTCTGAGTAGAGACTGGGAGAGTTGGGATTGCTCAGCTCGGAGAAGAGAAGACTCAGGGCATATCTCAACAGTGTTTAACTGAAGGGAGGGTGTAAATTGGACAGGCTCTTTTTCAGTGGTGCCAAGTGACAGGCCAGAGGCAGTGGACATGGAACAAACTGGAACGTGGGAGGTTTTCTCTGAACACCGTCAGGGAGCTGTGAAGGTGACTGAGCACTGGAATAGTTAGTCCAGGGGGGTGGTCTTCATCCTCAGAGATACTAAAAAAACATCCAGATATGCCCATCCCAAGCAAAATAATTTGGGTGGCCCTTGTGCAGTGAGAGTTGGGCTGGATGACCCTTCCAAGCTCAGCTATCCTGTGATTCTGATGTCAGGCAAAGAACTGTTACTCTCCCCACTCTTCTGTTGCTTTTCAGCAGTCCGCACAGTTCCCCATCCTGCAGCCTTCACTCCTCTCAAGCACTCTGGCACTTTGCACAGGCAAGCTCATTTTCTTTAGTGATGCCCATTACCCTAAAATAAATAGTACAGGGAGAGCTACTTGAGGGCTGCATTTAGCAAAGCTTCTCCGGAGTTGTGACTTCTTATTCCTGCAACTTATTTTCTGACATCACCTCAGGTGTTATACTTAAGCAAGGGAAATGCATGTGAGAATAGGTAGATACCTGCAATGCTGTCTGTTGCAAAGTTGTCACAGAATTCAGTAGGAACAGGGCAGAAACTGGAATACTGGGATGTTAAGGAAACCTGGGTATTGAGTGACTGAAGTGTCTGAGAACTGATATCTGTTCAGCAAAATGGACTGTGAATAGCTAGCAACACAGTTTAGGGTGTGACAACATTTGCACCAAGCTCTGTCTGCAAAGGCAAAACATGGTTTATGTTCACATCCTTTACTAAAATTCTAAATGCTGTTGATTCATGGAGTGGGTAAATTCCCATGAACAGAGTCGCAAACTAGATAGTCAACAACTCTTAAATATATTTTGGGGAACATTGTTTACACCATATGGGGTTTGAGTGGCATTCCTGAGCTCCTGACTATTGCAAATCTCAGGTGTGGTCTACAGCAGGTAACTCAAATCCTGACCAGTAATAGAAAATAAGAGAGACTTGGAAATATTGCAAGGAATATATGTAACTGGCTGCTCTTTTGTTATTAAATGAGCTTTTAGGACACATTCATCTGCAACTAAGTGCATTATGCTCAGGGAGACTATGAGGTTTCATCCAGAACTGCAGCCTGAGCAGCAAGAAAGGCTGCATGGTTGGGTGATGAAGCACAGTCTGCTTCATTTTACTTACACTGAGCCTGTCTTCAAAGTGGTCCTCGAAGACAGCCACCAGCTGAGCAGTGTGACAGAAGGCAAACATGCAAACATGTGCAGGATGTGAGCCACAACTTGATTTGTGAACATTGACAACTAGTGGGGAAAACAATTAACAAGAGACATTTGATTACCAGGGCAACAGGGGTTCTCTGTGGTAAGTGGAAAAGGGAAAATACTATGTCAAACAGGTTGGTGATCTCTGTCTAGTCCCTTAACGGCCAGTCTATATTGCCATAATTGCAAGGACCCATGAACTGGACCAGCAGAAACAGAGTCTAAATGCTAAAGTCTCTCTAAACTGAGGCATTTTAGCTGTGAAACTTATGAATAAACTGATATCTAATCCATGAAAGCACTTCAGGAGCATTAGAAGCACAAACAACATATTCAAACCACTTTGTCATTCAACATTACAAACCTTGCATCAACCATGCTTCACATTTCTAGTATTTTTACATCACTCACTAGAAACTAGGTGGAGAAACAGCAATTGCACATCAGGTAACAGTCCAAGAGGAAGAAAAGGTGCATACACAAGTGTTCACTGGTAACTGAGTGTCAGATAAATGCTTTCTTAGGCAGGCAGCATACTGCTTGGATGACATTACCAATTCCTGAAGGATTTATTATGTGCCATTGAAAACAGAGAGATTTAAACAAAAATCTTGCAAAGACTTAAAACCCACATGTTTAGCTTTACACTTCTTACATAGTTTCACTGAGGTCAATGAAACTATTCACTGTGGAAAGCTAAGAAGGTGTGTAAATCTCTGCAGCAATAAATGTTTCGCTTGATTATCTCCCCCAGGGACTGAAAACGGGGATTGGCAGCTACCAGACATCTAGGGTATAATGGCAACTTGTGTCATTGAATATTGGTCTAATTGAAAAACAGCATTAAGAATTGTGGAACAATTCTGGCCTTTTTTCCTAACTTGCAGTGGGTGCTGTGAGGCTCCAAACTGCTCCCTGCAGTACCCCCAACCAACTGACATTTGCTCACCCATGACTAAGGCACATTTTGACTGTCAAAATAAGTTTTGTTTGTTTGTTGTTTGTTTGCTAAACATGTGACACAGCTGGTGGTGTGGGGCATTTGTGTGTGTGTGTGTGATATGCTGTACATATCCAAGGCTTGAAAGTAGACCCTCTGCCTGGGTTGCGAGAGGGCTGCATCGCCGATGGTGATGCTTCTCCTCCTCCTTCTACACCTCCTCCTCCTCTCCTTCTCCTCCCTCCCGGCTGGGTGCAGACCCGGTGGCTGCAGGCGCTTCGTAAGACGCTGACGAGGAGGGGAAAGGGCTTAGCGGGTCTGGGGTCCCCGGAGACAGCGCGGAGAGCCGGGCGGGGGTGCCGGGGAGGCGCCGGAGGGGCGGGAGCGGCCCGGGCAGCGCCAGCGGGGGGAGGCGCCGGTGCGGGCGGCGCGGGGTGCGCGGCGCAGGGGCGGCGGCCCCGCACCCGGGCGGGCGGCAGGTGCGAGCGGAGCGGAGCGGGCCAGCGGTGCAGCGGGGCGGGGTGGGTGGGGAAGGGAAGGGATGGGCTGCGCCCCCAGCATCCACGTCTCGCATAGCGGTGTGATTTACTGCCGGGACTCGGAGGAGTCCAACTCCCCCCACCAGACCACCACCATCTCGCAGGGCACCGCCACCCTGCACGGCCTCTTCGTCAAGACAGACGCGGCCGACTCCATCCCCTCCGTCCTCGCTTACCAGAGCCGGGAGCCGCCGCCCTCCGCCGCTCCCCGCCGCAAGGAGCGTAGGGAGTCCGGCGGTGCCTCCGCCCGGTCCAGGACGCCCCACTGCTGCAGCGTCGAGGCGGAGACCCAGACCAGCAGCTCCAGCGTCAAGGTAAGCGGTGCCTGCTCCGGAGGGGTCTCCGGCGGGGCCAGTGTGGGTCCCACCGGCCGCGGCAGAGGGAGGACAGTGCGCGGAGCCGGCGCCTCCCCCACTGAAGGATGCTCGGCAGGCGGGATGCAGCTGCCGGGAGCGGTGCCCTGGTGCCCACTGACTCACTGCAGCTGCGGCGGCCGGGCCGGGCCAGGCTGGCACTGCTGGGGGGGGGCCGCCACGCCTGGAGCTCGCTCACGGGGGAGTAGCGGCCGCCGGGCCCCTCGGGCTCCCTCCACCTCTCCCTGCCCCGCTGATCCTTGCCTTTGGTGCGGCTCCCGGGCACCCTGTGCTGGGATCGGTCCTGGACACCCTGCGAGCGGGGAAAGGGTTCGTTTCGAGCACTATGACTGACAGCAGAGAATGGGCGCCTCTTGGAGAGGCGGAATAAAATCTCTCCCCGCATAATTCTCAACTGCAACGAGCCCGTACTTGCAGCTAGGTTTACTTCATCCCTTTTTCTGCCCCCCATGTCTGGTTAGAATGAACTGTTGCTGCGAGGCGTGGATGTTCGGCTGAGAACAGAACCACTGTGATCTACACACGTATGCAAGTGCACCTTGCTGGTGTAGGGTTGTGGGGATGCTCTCGGAGCGGCGACAGGATCTGTTTCTACAGGGTATCTGGAAGGCTTGAGTCTCCTTCTCAGTGCCTACCACGCAGGTACACTGCTGCGACCGTCTTCACTTAAGTTTAGCACTTAAAAAGAGATGATTGTGCTGGGTTTTCTTTTTCTTTTCCTTCTTTTTTTTTTTTTTCCCCCCCCCCCCCCCCCGATCAGAGTAGATTTTTCACTGACTTCTCTGAAAGCTTTCTAGAAATTAGGTTTTGCTTAGTTGCCCTCTTCCAAGCTTATTATTGAAAAAAAATGGTGTCACGATCCTAGCTGCACCTTAGATTTCTTTTCTGTTATAAAGCAGGATATCATGTCACAAATTAATTCCATGGTCTTAAACGGATTGAAGTATTTTGTTAGAAGGTAATGAAGAAATTAAAAAGTTTTCTTTCTTTGTAATTTAAAAAATCCAGAAATCACCTTTAGGAAAACATAAGTGAGATAGATCACAAAAAAACACCCCGGAACACCCCCCCAATCCATTGTCAGTTTGTTTACTCAAATGTTGAGAAACTCGAAGAATTGTCTGCGGTCACATTGACCGTTTCATTCAATCGGAAGAACCTCTGTCCCTATCATCAGTGATAGGGACAGAGTTCAAGAACAACTGGAATAAAACAGTTGTGTTTCTTGGACTCAGGGATTTTGGTTTTGGGGGTTTTTTTACATTTCAAAGTGGAATACTTAACACAAAATAAAATTTCTTTTTTAATGTATAGGAAAACAAAATAGAAATACTTTCACAATTAAGTTGAGATTTGAAAAAAAAAGTTAAAGTGGTAATTCAGTTCTTAATAATTACTTATGATTTGCTGTTACATCCTGTGCTCTTATAAACAAATATATTTGTCAACTTTCTGGTTATTAAAACTGAAAATATTTCAGATGTTTTTGAACTTTGTCATTGGCACTGTAATCTTGTTGGTTCAACAAGGCCAAATACTGTCTGGGTCTTGCCCTTGGGTCACAACAACCCCAGGCAGCACTACAGGCTGGGGCAGAGTGTCTGGAAAGCTGCCTAGAGAAAAAGGGCTGTGGGTGGGGAGAGTGGGAAAGCATGAGAGTGCTGGTCGACAGCATGTGAACACAAGCCAGCAGTGTGTCCAGGTGGCCAGGAAGGCCATCGACATCCTGGCCTGTGTCAGCAATAGTGTGGCCAGCAGGTTCAGGGAAGGAATCATCCTTCTGTACTTGGCCCTGGTGATGATGTACATCGAATTAGGGACCAGTTCAGGGCCCCTCACTACAGGAAAGTCATTGAGGAGCTGCAGCAAGTCTAGAGAAGGGCAACAGAGCTGTTCAAGGGTCTGAAGCACAAATCCTATGAGGAACAGCTGAGGAAGTTGGGCGTGTTTCTCCTGGAGAAAAGGATGCTCAGGGGAGATCTTATTGCTTTCTACAATTACCTGAAAGGAGGATGTAGCCAGGTGGAAGTCAGCCTTTTCAGGTGACAGGACAAGAGGAAATGGCCTCAAGTTTCACCAGGTGTGGTTTGGGTTGAACATCAGGAAGAATTTCTTCATAGAAAGTGTTGTCAAGCACTGGAATGGGGTGCCCAGGGAGGTGATGGAGTCACTATCCCTGGAGGTGTTCAGGAAACAACTGTCTGTGGCACTTATTGCCATGGTCTAGTTGACAAGGTGGTGATTAGTCAAAGGTTGGACTCAATGATTTTGGACATCTTTTCCAACCTAAATGATTCTGTGGTTCTGTAATTCTGTAGTTTCAGTTCTTTTTACTAATTATGGGTTTATTGGGATTTTGGGGTTTTGTTGTGTTTTTTTTAAGTTATTGAAAAACTGTTTCAGTTATATAGTAGAAATATTCTCATTCTTGTAAGAGTGAAGATATGTAAATTTTTTATACAATTTTTTAACTTGAATTAGAGCCTCCATTCTTACTGCCAATCTTGACACGTTTTCATACAGGTTAATATCACACTTCAGCTTTTGTCTGACTAGAACAAGGTTGGACTATTACAGAACTATCATAAAGGCAAAATTGTACATGATACCTGATGGGCTATGAGAAGTGGAAAAGTGTGGAAATACATTTCTTCAGTAGTATATGATAACAATATTTATTTCCATAGAAGTTCAAAATGAAAGAAAATATTTCTTTTGCTAAGAAGGAGTGTCTAGCAATACTACATGATTTTATCTGTTGTATTGCTTATTTGCATGTATTAGCCATATTTGATATTCCATATCATGTGGTGTCATGCTCAGTATGTAAAGTGGGGAGAAGAAGGAGGATGAGAAGGATGTTTGGAGTGATGGCATTTGTCTTCCCAAATCACCATTACATGTGATGGGGTCCTTCTCTCCTGGAGATGTCTGTACACCTGCCTGCCCATGGGAAGCAATTAATTAATTAATTAATTCCTTGTTTTGCTTTGCTCACATGTGTCTTTTGCTTTGCTTGTTAAAGTGTCTGTATCTCAGTTCATGAGTTTTTTCACTTTTATACTTCTCCTCTTCAGATTCTCTCCATACCCTGCTGGTTGTAGAGTGAATGACAGCCGCTTGAGGCTCAGTTGCACTCTGGGGTTAAAGCACCACAAAATCTCATCTAACTCTGTTTAGGGGACAAAACAATGGCCAAATGGCTGTGACCACTATTATATATTAATATAATGTTCCGGTTGTTTAACTGTTCAACCCACTTAAACCATGCTGCTTGGTGTTTTGTGTTCTAAACTGATCTTTAATTGTTTACACAATGAAGTATTGCATTATTTACATTTGACCCTGTCCTTATATAATGTTTTAAAACTAGTCCACACCATAATATGAAACAGGCATTAAAATAAATCAACCCACAACGATTTCAACCCTATTCAATTTAAATTTAAAAAGACCAAAAAGAACCCCAAACCAAAACCAAGCCAAACAAAAAAAACCCCAGCCAAACAAAAAAAAACCAACTGCCACAAAATGATCCCACATCACTTAGAATATATGACTTATCTAAACCTTACTTTCAAAGTCTATCTGATCTATATTTGTTTGAGGTGAGATCAGTGTTACAAAGACAAGGGTATTTTGTTGTTTTCTTTCTTTCTCCTTTCCTTAATGATGAGTTCTGAGCTTTCAGAGCCTTGGGATGCGTTGGTCCCATCCTGCTCACATTGGTTAGGAGTAACCATTCAGCAGTTCTGGTGTGTTTGTGAGTTTCTTTGTGAATTGAAAGCTTGGTAACTAATATCTAAAGCTTGATGCCAAAGATCTCAACTAGACTTGTTATGTATTAGAAAATGCATCTGCACCCAGATTTGGAAAAGGACTGAGAGGTTCTGGTGCCCAACCATACTCTGTGTTACCAAGGTACTTGGTTAGAAGTGCTCAATTAAAAAACAGACATTCCTTGCCCATGTTCCTTCCTTAATAAAACCAAACAGTATCAAAACAAAGAGTATTAATATCTAAAACCTTACATCAGCTTTATGTAAGGATACAAGGCATTTAGCTTACATCGCTGAAGCGTAGCTTTGAACATGGAAAGATGCTGACTGCTCTGAAGTGCAACAGAACCAACTGTTTAGCAAGGAATGAACAGTGTCTTGGGCACTTCCTCAGAGATTTAAAAACATAAAAAAGTTTACCTTATCTTTGTTTACAAGTACATCTTTTAATTATAGCCAAATCTTAAGCAGACATGTGTGAATATATTGTCTTTTCTTGAACATCTTGAGACATCAGCATTAGCCAAACTTTAAAGACTGCAACAACAGACAAGTTTTAAAGCTCTTGTTGCTAATGTGTAAGCTAGATGGAAAAAAACCCAAAACCATCTGCAGACTTCTATTGATTACTTGATCGTATTTTTCTTCTTGAAATTACAAGAACAGCAGGCGTAATGGTTTGGATTTTCTTATGCTGTGTTCTTTGTGGAAGAGGAAGGTCTGTTTATGAACCTCCCTTCATGAGTCACAATAGGAGCAGGTTTTGACAGTTTTTAGGCTTTTCTATAGCAAAATGTTTATTAGAAGCTAAGCTCGGAAATAAGAAAAAATACGTGGGACAGTATCTCTTACCAGCATTGATCTGTGTTAAGTTCCAAGGTGGAAGTGCTGGAGTGGGTGTATCCTTCTCAAAGTGTCAAGAACCGAGCTTTTACTTTTTTTTTCCTAAATCGGGGAGATTATGTAAAAGAATGCAACGGCCAAATACAAACTGGAAAACACTAAGAAATCCAGCTACTGAGAGAGTTGCGTCAGGTCCATGGGTCCTGGAGAAATGCAGCCATAAGCATTGCCTTGATTTTGAGCATAGTTCTTCTCTTTAAAGCAGGATCATGTGTAAGAAAAATCACTGTACTTCTTGTTTTGTTTGAAACGTACTAC